ATTTACTTACACACTGTTTACAATGTTGATGAGTCACAAGAAAAACAGTTCTAAGGAATAACTTTTATAGAAGATAATAAGGTGTTCGATGAGGAACACGTACTTTAAAGGCATCAAAACAACGGGAAGGGATTATAATTTACCATATACTTATCGGTTTTTATATTTGTATACTACCTTTTACACATGGCGATAAATTCCCCACAGACACTTAGACCAAAAAATTACGAAAAACAAATATTTTACATAAATAAAATACACGTAAGGATGTGACGTCTTACCCCAAGGACTATGACTAGATTTCGATATTTTTTCGTCAACACAAATTCTATTAAAAGTTTATTGACAAATAAGCGTACATACATACATATGTACACAATAAATGAAAAGACAAGACGAGGAAATGCCAGAGGTTGACATGTGAACGCAACGAACAATGGTTGTCATAAACATTTTCTTAAAACACGATTTTCCAATTAAGAAGTTTTTTGTCAATAATGGAAGCGCATTATTCCTTCTACTCCTACCATTTGTGGTAATAATGGGACGTTTTTTCTTTTTGGTAAAAAAAGGAATGGTTTTTAAAAGATCTTAAAAAAGGTTCCTTAATGTGTTGAGATTTTTGCTTTGCTAGAAATAATGGTTAAGAGTGTGCTAATTGAGCCGGAAGCATTGCTTCCATAAGGTGCAATAATCGATACATTTGCATAACCTCGAAAAATTCGTCGGAGATACTTTATATTACACTGTGCAACACAAAAAATAATTACCGCGAAATTCCAACAGATTATGAAAGAGGGGATAAAAAAAGAAGACACGTGTATCGGCGTTTTGAAAGTTTACGTCGGGAGGTAACCAAAAAAGGCGGGGCAATATTCCCCCTTTTCCTTGCATTTTAGGTATATAGTGTCTTCGGCAATATTACTGATAAGGATAAGCCTAAATGTCGAAAATCTTAAAAAACAAAAACTCATTTTAGGGTTAATATCGTACTTATTACTAGTTTTTAGCCATTTTTCCCACAAGATGTCGTTTTAGAAGGATAGTATAAGGAACAAAAATATGTATATATAATGTATATACCGAATATATAGTCATACATTGTGAACCAAAAATTAAAAATGTTATTGTATTTTTTTTCAAAGACATTTCCCAGTATTTTTTTTCGAAAAAGTGCATGAAAGTAACATGAAACTTAATTCTGGGTACATAATGTCAAAGAATAAAATATTCTACGTCAAAATCCACTTCAAGCCTCAGAATAAACTATATATTTATATTCAATAGTTTTTAAGAAATTTACAGTATAAAATTAACTGAAGTCTTCAAAAAAATTGTTGTTATTATATATAATTATACCCTACACAACTATGTTGTCAGGGTATTATAGCTTTGTGCAGCCCCAAAAGTTTGTAACGCCGCGAAATATTGGTCCTAGACCCACCTTTAAGTATACCGATCGTCATATCTCGACTAGCTGAGTCGATCTAATGTGTGTCCGTCCGTCCGTCTGTCCATTATCATTTTTAAACACGATAAGGCCACAGTTATGGACCGATCGTCACGAAATTTTGCATGTAGGACGGATTCTGGCCAAAGAAGACCCCTATTGTTTTTGGTAAAGATCGGTTCATATTTAGGGTATGAAATGGATATAATACTAAATTTTTGTCGGTTTTTCTGGTCGTTCCATAGGCCGCAATTATGGTCCGAACATCGTGAAATTTTGCATGGAGAAGGGGATCGGGCCAAAGAATAAGCATGCCAGGTTTGATAAAGATCGGTCAATATTTAGCGGGTTAAATTGACCCTGACTTTTGTGTGAAAAATTACAACATTTGTATTCTATAGCGTATATATTTACCCCTGAAGGACATAGACCCGAAAAGTTTATATTATATCCAAGAGGAGTGGTTGACCTTTAAATTAATACCAATTATATTGTTGTATGTGCTCGGATGTGGGAGTTACACCTAAATGTTTACAGGTATCTCCGTATTCGTATATTATTTTGTAACCCATTATCACTCTACAGACGAGAGCTATAGCGCTGATGGCTTTGAAATGTTCCATGAGGTTCCAGTTATGGTCAAGGACAACGCCTATAAATTCCGTGATGATCAGATAATAATTTTGGGATGAATTGGACCGAAAACTTAATTTTTTTTGTGTTATTTTCGAGTTGATCTATAGACCAGTGTGAGGAAGAGGCGCTGTTTACATCTAATCGGGCAAGAGGGTACAAATATTGCCCAGACTCGGAATAAACATCCGCAGAAAATTTTAATTCCGTGGTAGTTGTGTAGGGTATCGTATGGTAGGCCCCGTCCGACTATACTGCTCCGCTCACTGGTTTTATTATGTATATTTCTTAAAAACTACTGAATATAAATATATGTACAGATTTCTCTTGTTCAGTGACTTATACTATCCTTCTAAAACGACATCTTGTGGGAAAAATGGGTAAAAACTAGTAATAAGTACGATATTAACCCTAAAATGAGTTTTTGTTTTTTTAAGATTTTCGACATTTAGGCTGATTTTTGAGTTTTTGTCTATTCTGAGACTTATAGTAAAACTTTATGGCGAACATTTCTGTAGAATATTCTGAGCAGCTTTAACCCCGTTTTGAATGAGTTTTCAATCACTCCTGGAAAAGGGGACCGAAAAGACCCCTTTAATGAGTCGGTTGAGGGTTAAAGTTACAGACCAAAATATTTCTCGATATTGTATCAGTAATATTGCCGAAGACACTACATACCTAAAATGCGAGGATTTCAAGAAATCATAATTCGAAAATGATCAAAATTCTTGAAAAGGGGGAATATTGTCTTTTTTGGTTACCTCCCGACGTAAACTTTCAAAACGCCGATACACGTGTCTTCTTTTTTTATCCCCTCTTTCATAATCTGTTGGAATTTCCCGGTAATTATCAAAAAAATTCAAACTTGTCGCACAGTGTTATTGATCGGAAGAATCTAACAATATCCGGACGGAAATCTTCCTAAAAAAATAATCAAAAATGGTCCAAAAATTTTGGTAATTGATAGTTTTATTAATAAATTCTAATTTGTTCGAAAATGTTTAGTGTTCCTAAATATGGAGTTTTGTGAGCAAGAAACAATGCGAATATCGATTTCTTTTCCTTGAGAGGACATTTTTGTAGAATATGAGAGACATTTTTGTAGAATATGAGAGACATTTTTGTAGAATATGTTAAGGCCAAAAAATCTCTTGCACAAGAACTAGGGATAGTAGGAGGATATGTTTTACAAAAATATTCCTAATTTGATTTGACTGAAGACATTGAAATTGCACGAACATAAATATGATATCTTTATGTATATGTGACCCGACTAACATCAACACGTACATATATTCTGAAACCTATGCTAAGTTTCATTTCATTCAGGCAAAATTAGAGTCGTTTGCGTACAATGGGACTACTTTATGTAAATCGATTTATAGAACACTTGATGCATGTTATTCAGTATGCCGCACTTTCGTGTCAATCGGACAAACATTAGGAGTTTGGTGCACCATTTACCTAAAATCGGACGAAAATGAGAGCAATATTTTGATCTGAACCGATCTTCACGAAACTTAGCACAAATCATTATAGACTCAATTCAGTACACTCTGCCAAATTTCGTGCAAATCGAAAGTTATATTCGGATTTTGGTCCACCATTTATATTAAATCCGACGAAATGTATATATATATATATAGGACTATATCTAAATCTGAACCGATTTCCACGAAACTTAGCTCACATCATTTAAATTTTCACGAAACATAGCACACATCACTCTAGACTCAATTCAGTACGTCATGCCAAATTTCGTGCAAATTTAAGAATATATAGGGACCTCGGTGCACCATTTACATTAAATCGGACGAAAATATATATGGGAGCTATATCTAAATCTGAACCGATTTTAACCAAACTTAACTCAAATTATTCCAGACCTTATTAAATACGCTGTGCGAAATTTGGTACAAATTGAGAGATATATATAGGGACTGTGGTACAACATTTACATTAAATCGGACGAAAATATGTATGGGAGCTATATCTAAATCTGGACCGATTTTCAGGAAACTTCGCAAACATCATTCAAGATCTAATTGAGTACAATATGCCAAATTTCGTGCAAATCGAAAGATATATAGGGACTTTGGTGCACCATTTACATTAAATCGGACGGAAATATATATATGGGAGCTATATCTAAATCTGAAATAATTTTCACGAAATTTAACTCATATCTTTCTAGACCAAATTCAGTACGCTATGCCAAATTTCGTGCAAATCGAAGATTATATAGGGTCTTTGTTGCACTATTTACCTAAAATCGGACGAAAAAATATATGGGAGCTATATATAAATCTGAACCGGTTTTTCCCAATTTCAATAGGGTTCGTCCTTGGGCCAAATGAATGAGCTCTGCTAAATTTCATCCAATTCGGATTATAAATGCCACTTTGTTTACAATTTACCATGGACAGACGGACGGGCGGACATGCATAAATCGGCTTAAAAAGTGATTCTATGCATATTCTCAAAAGGAGCCATGGGTCTATCTCGTTTCCTTTTGCCTGTTGCAAACATATGCACAAAGACATAATACCCTGTACCACAGTGTGGTGAAGGGTATAAAAATGGCGTTCGGTATAAGTGTGAAAAATATTCGTATTTGGCAGAATTAAAAAAGTGGAATCTAATTTATTCTCATTTGTGCGCATTTTTGTAGATAGCAGTAAGACTTATCATCCTTTTTGAAAAATTTTCAGGAATTATTATAGTGCTAACATATTACTACCATCAAATTTATTTTCCCCAAAAACACAATTTAATTCACTGCCTACATTATACTTCAATTTATGATTCTTTTGATTCATTAATTACCCAAACCACTAAAAATCCATTAAATTGTGTCCTCTGAAAGACGTTTCATACTAATTACATAATTCCATCATTTCTTTCTCCCTATTTTCAGATAAATATGTGAAGAGACCACCACGAAAGGCCTACGGCCGTTTGAGTGCTGACTCTGATGATGCTTCCTCGGCGAAACACAAAATTGATGATCCTTTTGAGGAAATCGATAATTTTGAAATGATAACACCCACAAATGGCAATACGGGTACGACGACGACAGCCAGCCAAAATGGCTGCCATCTACATCATCACAACGGTCATCATTCAGCCGCGACAAATGAGGATGATTGTGGCGGTGGGGGAGTGGGTGATAGTTGCTGTGATGCTGCTTGCCATGGTGTTGTCGACAGTGATTGTAGCCTGTGTGGTGGCAATGGCTTACAAAATTCTTGCCTTGCAGGCTCAAACATCAACGATGGCGGCGGTGGTGGTGGTGGCCACTGTACCGCAGCTGATTGTCAAGGAAATTATGCCGATAGTAATTTATGTGAATACAACATGAATAACTTGTGTGGCGATGGTGTTGGCAGCAGTGGCGCAAAAGTAACCTCAAGTTCGACCGCATCCCGTCTCAGCAGCAAGGAACTCAATGAAAACACAATAAACCGCTTACAGTCGATGGCAATGTCAGACGATGATGACTATGGTAAGTAAATTTTGTTGATGGTGGTTTCTCTACGACCTTCGGAAAAATTTGAATATCGTATTTTTACAATAACGTCAAAATCGTGCATTGCATTTTAATGAAAAATTGTGGAGTATTCAATGGGATTTTCTTTTCTGTTCATTGTGGCGAAAACACTTCATGGCCTTGGTGGCATTTTGCCATTTGATAGTCTTAAAAGAAAAATCATCATTTGGACAACTTTAAGTGCCAAGACTTTGTTGAGTATCATTAATGGGCATTAAAGCTCAGTCATTCATTTGGCCATAAGTACTTAAACGATGACACAACAAAGTGGTTAGCATCCAGATTAACTTATAATTGTATTATATGTAGAAGAAGAAAGTCAAATAAATATAAAAATATTAATGTGTTTGAAAGCCAATAGAAACTTTATCAGTAATGAAAAGAACTTCAAGGCAAAAGTTTTACTTAATGAGATAAACACTAAAATACAGGGATGAATGAACTTGTGGTTTCAAACGTAAACGTAAATAAAATACATGTAAAATAAAGATTGAACGTTGACATTATGTATGAAACTAAATACACTTCATTGTAGAATTAATATTGACTGAATCGGACAAACTTGGGAGTTTGGTTCAAAAACTACGTAAAATCTGACACCAAACACTTATTGGTGCTATATCTACATCTGACCCGATTTCAGGGAAACTTCACACACTTGTTTGGACTCAACTACGTTATGGAAAATTTCGTCCCAATCGGACAAACCTTGGTAGTTTATTTTGCAGTTTTCTTAAAATCGACGAAAATATATATTAGAGCTATATCTAATTCCGAACCGATTTCTACTAATCATAACACACGTTATTCTAGATTCAATTCTGTAAAATATGCAACATTTTGTATCAATCGGATAAATCTTGGGAGTTTGGTGCGCCATCTACTTATAATCTTACTAGAATATATTAGGTTAGGGAAAAATAAATCCATTATTATATTTTATTTAATATGGCGGATGCATTAAAACTTCCCAACCGAGTTCCCGAAATTTCTGGCGTGTTACTGCACATGTGTGTGGTCTAGCCATGTCCTGGTGGAACGCGACACCTCTCTTGTTGGCCAATTCAGGCCGTTCCTGGTCAATTACTAACCTCAAACGGTCCAGTTGTTGACAGTAGAAATCAAAATTTAGGAACTTATAATAAATAATCAACTTTCAGTCCCACCAAATTCATAGCAGAACCTTCCTGGCCGTTAGTCCTGGTTTGGCCACCGTTTGAGGTACTTCACCGCTCTTTGACCAAGATCGTTTTCGCACAGGGTTATCGTATGTGATCCATATCTCATCTCCAGTCACCATCCGTTTATGAAATGGGTCCATCTTATTCCATTTACCAAGGCTTCGCAAATAGAAATTCGATTCATCCTATTTTTTATACCCTTCACCACACTATGGTACAGGGTATTATATCTTTGTGCATATGTTTGTAACAGGCAAAAGGAATCGAGAATGACCCATGGTTCCTTTTGAGAATATGCATAGAATCACTTTCTGGGTCGATTTACGCATGTCCGTCCGTCCATGTATTTTTGTGAACAAAGTACAGGTCGCATTTATGATCCGATTTAGATGAAATTTGGCACAGTTAACTTATTTGGCCCAAGGGCGAACCCTATTGAAATTGGGGAAAATCGGTTCAGATTTAGATATAGCTCCCATATACATTTGCGTCCGATTTAATGTACATGGTCCACCAAAGCCCCTTAATTTCTCTCAATTTGCACGATATTTGGCACCGCGTACTGAAGTAAGCCTAGAATGGTGCACCAAAGTCCCAAATTATGCTTCGATTTGCACGAAATTTTGCACAGCGTACTGATTTAAGAGTAGAATGATGTGTGTTAAGTTTCGGGAAATCGGTTCAGATTTAGAAATAGCTCCCATATATATTTTCGTCCGACTTAAGGGAACCCCTCCCATTCTCGATTTTAATTTTTCAAGATTTTCAATGGGCTGGTAAATCAATACCAATGCTTGTTAAGGTTTGTAACTTTGCACATATAGAATTTAAGATTTAAAAGAGAAGAAAAATAATTTACAACAAAATTTTGTTATTGTTTTTTGTAATTAAAGAAAAGTCCTTATTTTTGATGGCGGGCATGATAACTCCTCACTGGAACATCGGAATCCGAAAATTCCAACGGTGTTAGAAAGAGTACACGTCTGCCTCTCGTATGAACTAGGATTATTGACTTCGCTCTAAAATTAACAAAATGGCGCACCTTTGAAAAAATATTTTTGGAAAATCGCCGATTTTTTACCAAAAACCAAGTTAAAAAATAAGGAAGATCTTCACCGATTGGCTTTATCCTAGTTCATACGAGAGCTATACACTCCCAGAGAAACGTTGCAAAAATTTGGAACCGATTGGATTATTAGTTTTTGAGTTATCGTGCCCGCCATTCGCAAACAAATGTTTAGAGAAAAACGCGTTAAAAGTTTGAGAAGCCCTTCAGCCGTCACTTGATGCTGACACAATAAATCGGCTATATCTTCAAGAGTTCTTGAGATTTTCACTTGAAATTTTGTAGAGACATTCTTTAATCAGTGTAGATTCGAATTTTGTCAAAAAAAATTTTGACCCCGAGAATGGGGGGTCCCCTTAATGTAAAAGGTGCACCAAAGACCCTATTTATTCTTCGATTTGCACGAAATTTGGCATAGCGTAATGATTTGAGTCTAGAATAATGTGTGCTATGTTTCGTGAAAATCCGTTCAGATTTATATATACCCCTCTTTATATTTCGTCTGATTAAATGAAAATGGTACACCAAAGTCCGAATATATTTTTCGATTTGCACGAAGTTTGACATAGCGTACTGAATTGAGTCTAGAATGATGTGTGCTAAGTTTTGTGAAGATCCGTAAAAAATTAGATATAGCTCCCATATATATTTTCGTCCGATTTTACATAAATGGTGCACCACATTCCTAGTGTTTGTCCGATTATCAACGAGACGGTCATCAGCATTTTTAATATTGGAGGAAGAAGTAGCTGATAACAATGAAAAAAAAAATAAGAAAACAAAAGCAACATTGGGTTCCGCCTTTTCTTTTGGAAGGTGATGGTGTGTATGTTTCTTTTAGGGAGCGATTAAAACGGAATGATCCCGAACTATACAAAAACTTTGCACGAATGTCACCAGACGATTTTGATGATTTGCTTGAACTAGTCTCCCCATTAATAGAAAAGGCCAATACTAATATTAGGGAATATATATGGGAATTAGGGAATCTATAGACAATAACATTGAGATTTTTAGCGACTGGGGACAGCTATGCAAGTCTGACGTTCTCTTACCATCTCATATTAATTTATTAATTATAATTTAATTCATTGTCACTTGTCGCAATAAAAATGTGTAAATAAAAATATATGATATGCATTGATCAAAAGAATGAACATGCTGTCAAAATATTTCTAGTCATCAATATTGCCAGATGCGATTTTGATGCCTATTTACACGGCATCAATAACATCTTCAAAATTTTTGTTCAATAAATTTTGATCAATAAATGTTGAAGAAATTTAGCTGTTTACACGAGTTTGAAGCATTTTGAAGACAAATTTTGAAGAAAACTTCAGTCGTGTAAATGAAGCTTTACAAAATTTGAAAATCTTTACGCTCTTTACGAGGTCGATAATCAACTATGTTTGGATAAATGCATTCTTTAGCAAAATGTAAATAATTTTGTTTTGAAGGTACCAGTAGTAGTGGAATGGATACTTAAAATCGAGTATGCATGAAGGTACCAGTAGTAGTGGACCGATTCCAACTCGATCATAAATATTTTATCGTCGCAAAGTGTTTATACCCTCATTAGCCATAAAGCTTAGGGTTGGGTTATACATAACCGCGATTTGATATATTCTGTTTTCAATTTTCTAACGCTACTAACCCAAACAGTATCATATAAAGTAATATAAATATTCCATTTTCATTTCAGATGAATCTCTTACCTGTAATGTATGCGATCGGGCATTTCATTGTCATCGACAATTGGCATCACATCAACAAAAGAAACGACATTTTGGGTGAGTTATCGGCACAACTTTATTATTTTTATTTGCTCTAAATTTCCTAATAATTTAATATCATTTATTATTTCCCCATCTACAGCTGCAGCGGTTGCGATAGTTTGTTCCCCTCCCTAATGCTGTTGGAACATCACAAGGAGGAATTTGAGCATTGGAGTGATGATGAAATAAGTCGACGGGTCTGCTGTCGTCGAAATCGTGGTGATGATTACTTTACCGATACCGATTCATTTACCAGTGATGCTGAAAGTGAAGATTTAGAAAGGCTGTTATAAATTAAAGATTAATGCAAAAATAACGAGAACTATGAGATATTCGTATTTTCTACTAAGAAACTAAACCATATCTATAACGAAATTAGCTACTCAGTATTTTTTCTTCTTGTGTTTTATAAATATTTAGCTTCAGGTGAGGCAAAAATTAGTGTAACCTGTAAAATAATGTGAATTTATATTTTTTGTAAGAAAAAAACTGTAGCATTAGAGCTATATTTTTGGAGTACATAAAGTTTCCTATAATTAACCTAAATAAAAGATAAGAGAATGTATGATATTTAAAAATAGTTTAATTGTTCAGGTTGTTGATAAAAAAATGATAAATATTTTTTTGCAGAGAAAATAAACGCTAAGAGAGGAATGTGGGACGTGAAATCACTTCGATTGGTAAAATTCTTCAAAGAAAACCTTGATGTTATTTTTGTTTTTTGTTTGTTGCATGTAGAAAATCTGACAATGTTGCACATCATGATATATTTTCCGAACAAAAAACATTTTCGAAAATCAAGTGTATAGGTCAAGTCCTTCTGATACTCAGTTACTCCAAAAGGTCACTGTTAATATCCCACATTCCTTTCTGATGTTGATCTATCTTACAGATTTGTATGATTTTATTTTAAATGTATTTTTCTTAGAATATTTTGATATATATTTATTTAGAAGAACAAAACAAAACAATCTGTCAGCATATCAAAAATCCCCAATGGAAAACTACAGCATTTTAAGTAATTTGAAAAAAATTCTCAACACAGTATTGCAAAAAATATTTGGTCAGAGACCAATTAGTTTCTTCAATTTTTGTTTGTAAAGATGCTTAGTTTGAATACTGCAAATGCAACAACAACAAAACCCGCCCCTACCCACCCAAATCAATCCAAGCAACCAAACAAATTCCTCAAGCGTAGTTTTAATGTAAACAATATACATATATAGACGTGTGTGTACAAATATTATATAAATATACATATATCTAAATCTAAATACAATTACTAACTAAAATTTATATAGTAATTTATATTTAAGGTTAATCGTTAGAGTCAATCCCAAGCTAAGTCAAGGATAAATGAAGCCAAAAAGAAAATGACATAATTGCAATTTTATCTTTTGTTTCATTAATACATACAATCATAATCATTTATCTACAGAGTAAATATGTAGTGTTATACAATGTATGTATATATAATTACCTACCCAATTTATGTAAGATTACTTAATAACACATCCAACAGTATATGTATGTATTTAAATACACAAATATAACAACAATTTATGAACGTGAAAAATATATATGTCCAAATAAATACTATATAGTTTGATAAAACAGAAAATAAATATATTTTAAAAGAAACATTGTTTTACTTATTTTGTTCGATAAATATGATACGATGAGTTACAGATTCTCAGGTTGTCCCAGTCAGATGGGGTAGACTACTCATATATGACACCTTTCACCAATTTGGGTACATACAAGAGATGTAATATTTCATATTTTATAAAATTATCAGATATGTTTCAAGACTTTTCAAATGATCAACTATTTCTGTTTGGGTATAACACAGACTTCCCAAGTCGGATATACTGCATTCTTTACATTTAACTTAAAAAACGAAATTTAAACCAATAAGAAAAGTTGAAAAGTCGGACGGGGCCGACCATACGATTGGAAAAAAATACCAGCAGCTCCTCCATAGGAAGAAGAACTCCCCTGCAGCTCTTTCACAAAAAGAAGAATACCTGCAACTATTCCACAGAGAAATGAATACCTACAACTCTCATATAGGAAGAAAAATACATCCAGCTTTCCTATTGGAAGAAATTTAGATGCAGCTCTCCTATAGGAAGAAAAATACATCCACGTTTTCCACAGGAAGAAGAATACCTGCAACTCTGCCACATGAAGAAAAATACCTGCAGCGCTTCCGCTGGAAGAAGAACACCTGCACTTTTTTCACAAGAAGAAAAATACCTGCAGAAAAATACCTCCAGCTCTCCTATAGGAAAAAAAATATCTCCAGCTCTTTCAAAGGAAGAAGAATACCATCAGTTCTTCCATATGAAGAAAACTCCTACAGCTCTTCCATAGGAAAGAGAATACCCGGAGATCTTCCAGAGGAAGAAGACTTCTGCAGCTCTTGCACAGAAAGAGGAATGCCTGCAACTCTTTTAAAGGAAAAGTAATACATGCAGCTCTTACATAGGAAGAAGAATACCGGCAGCTATTCCGCAGGAAGAAGACTCCTGCAGCTCTTCCACAGGAAGATGAATAACTGCAGCTTTTTCAAATGAAGTATAATACCTGCAGCTCTTCCATAGGAAGAATAATACCCGGAGATCTTCCACAGGAAGAAGACTCCTGCAGCTCTTGCACAGAAAGAGGAATGTCTGCAACTCTTTTAAAGGAAAAGTAATATCTGCAGTTCTTACATAAGAAGAAGAATACCTGCAGCTCTTCCGCAGGAAGATAAATAACTGCAGCTCGTATAGGAAAAGGATCATCTGCAATTCTTCCACAGAAATAATAAAATCTGCAGCTCTTCCTCAGGAAGATGAATACCTGCAGCTCTTCCAAAGGAAGAAGACTCCTGCAGCTCTACAACAGAAAGAGAAATTCCTGCAGCTTTTTCAAAGGAAGTATACTACCTTCAGCTCTTCCATTCTGAGCCTGTGTAATATTTCGTGATTGTTGCCCCCTCTTGCCCGATTAGAGGTCAATAGCACCTCTTCCATACACTGACATATTTCCCGAATATGTGATGTTCGGCTTATAATTGTAGAATCAAAAAAAAACTGAATTTTCGGTCCACTTCATCCAAAAATTATTATCATCAACGGAAATTGTAGGCGTTGTCCTTGACCATAACTGGAACCTCATAGAACATTTCATAGCGATCAGCGCTATATTTCCTCTAATATGGTAATGTTTTATTAAATAATATCTGAATACGTAAGCATCGGTAAATATTTACGTGTAATTCCCACATCCGAGTACATACGACAATATAATTGGTATCAATTTAAAGGCCAACCACTCCTCTTAGATATACTATCAACTTCTCGGCTCTATGTCCTTCAGGAGTAAATATATACGCTATAGAATACACATTTTGTAATTTTTCACAGAAAAATCAGGATCCATTTGACCCGCTAAATATTCACCACTCTTTATGAAAACAGGCATGCTTATCCTTTGGTCCAATCTCCTTCTCCATGTAAAATTGATGATGTTCGGGCCATAATTGCGGCCTCTGGAGGGACCAGAAAACCCGACAAAAATTAAGTATTTGGTCCATTTGATTCTATAAATATTAACCGATCTTTACCAAAAACAATAGACGTCTTCATTAGCCCGAACCCATGATACATGCAAAATTTCGTGAAGATTGGTCCATAACTGTGACCATAACTGTACGGACGCAAGGATACACATATTTAGATCAACTCAGCTGGTCGAGATATGACGATAGGTATACTTAAAGGTGGGTCTAGGACCAATATTTCGCGGCGTTACAAACACTTGGGGCTGCACAAAGCTGTAATACCCTGACAACATAGTTGTGGAGGGTATAAAAAATCACGCCTTTGATGGTTGCTAAAAACATTCTTTAAACCAGTAAGGAAAGTAGTAAAGTCGGACTGGGCCGACTATATGATACCCTTCACCACTTTGGGTATATTCTACATATGTATCCGAAAAGTCGTCGCCTTTTTGAAGGAATTTTGACATGAAATTGAACGAACTTAAATATGTGATTTTTATGTCTTTCTGGAACCTATGCTAAATTTTATTTCATTTGGGCAAGTTTAGAGTCGATTGCGCACAGTGGATCAGATTTGTGTAAATCTATTTAAAGCAAACTTGAAACACGCTATTCGATATGCTGCACAGTTTAAAATTTAATCTCAATCAGACACCTACGCTATCCCAAAATTCGTGCAAATCGAATGATTTTCAGGGACTTTGATGCAGCATTTACCTAACATCGGGCGAAACTATATATGACTTAATGGTGATGCAACGTTCCTGTTCATCCTTACGGGTATCGGTGAAACGAGTTTCACCAGCCTTGGCACCAGCAATAATACCAGCTTTGGAAACCAAAGAATCGGTCAAGGTGGATTTACCATGATCGACGTGAGCAATAAATTTGAACCGATTTTCATGAAACTTAGCACACATCATTCTAGACTTAATTTAGTACGCTATACCAAAATTCATGTCAATCAAAGGATTAGCAGGGACTTTGGTGCACCATTTACCTAAAATCGGGCGAAACTATATATGGAAGCTATATCTAAATCTGAACCGATTTTCAGGAAACTTGGTACACGTCATTCTAGACTTAATTCAATACACTATGTAAAAATTCGTGCAAATTAACTAATTTTCAGGGACTTTGGTGCACCATTTACCTAAAATCGGGGGAAACTATATATGGAAGCTATATCTAAATTTGAACCGATTTTCACGAAACTTAGCACACATCATTCTAGACCTAATTCAGTAGGCTATACCAAATTCCATACAATCGAATATATAGGGACTTTGTTACACTATTAAACTTAAATCGGGCGAAACTGTATATGAGAGCTAAACCGATTTTCAGAAAACTTAGCACACGTCATTCTAGACTTAATTCAATACGCTATGCCAAAATTCATGGAAATCCAACGGTTTTCAGGGACTTTGGTGCACCATTTACCTAAAATCGGGAGCTATATCTAAATCTGAACCGATTTTCACGAAACTTAGCACACATTATTCTAGACCTAATTCAGTAGGCTATAACAAATTTCGTGCAAATCGAAAGATATATAGGGACTTTGGTACCCCATTTACATGAAATCGGACGAGACTATATATGGGAGCTATATCAAAATCTGAACCGATTTCAAATATTTCAATAGGGTTCGTCCTTGAGCCAAATAAGTGACATGTGCCAAATTTCATCCAAATCGGATCATAAATGCGAACTGTACTTTGTTCACAAAAATACATGGAC